TTAGGGGTGTTTTGGGAGTTTAAGGATTCGGGTTTAGGGTTTACGATTTATTTTGGGTTACCGCAACAGATTTGGTCTCCTTTTCTTTCCGAAGAGCGGTTCGCGGTCACTTTGGATGCTGAGCTTCATGAAGTTGCGTTGTTACTCGCACGGATGCCTGGAATAGAGTCAGTGATTTACGGATTTCGGGTGCGTAAGGGTTGCATATAGGAATTTCGGATCAGAGTTCCTGTAACGAGGAAACTGCCGTGTAGGGTTCTACACTAGGGTGTAGAGTTTCGGCATGTGAGGTAGCGGAAGAACGAAGCTTGTATTGTAAGTGGCACACAGACCCAAAACCCCGAACCCTAAACCCGAAACCTTTAAACTTGAAATTTCTACATAAGCCCGTCATAATTTCTGAAGCCCTTCCAGAACCCGAGCCCCAAACCCTTCAGGGGATCGAGGCAGTGACTAAGCCCGCCGTCCAGTTCTGGAGCGTCGGAAAGTCGCGTGAGAGGTAAGTCAGGACCTCATGCACTGCGAGGCAGCATGTGGCTGAAATCTGGAGTTTAGGGTTTAGGGTTGTTAAGGTTTCTGGGTTTGCCGTAAAGTGGCGCATGAGCGAAAGTATCTTGCGACAGTGTAATTTCGAGTGCGTCGTCCTTTGACGATTGGCCGTTGGAGCCTCATCGTGTATGGCTCTCTTTGCAAATTTAACTCTCCCACCCCACGCCGTCTAAGGCTGCCAAACCACCCGAACCTATTCCTTTTAGGGCTTAGCACCTAAACCTAAACTCTTTCAACTTCTTCAACCGTTTTGAGGGCAGGGCAGGGCAGGGCACACCGGGCAGGGCAGGGCAGGGCAGGGCAGGGCGGCGGCAGGGCACAGAGCACGGGGTCAAAAGGACCCAAAAAGCTCATCCAGAAACCCTAAAGCCCCTAAGTCCTTGATTTCTGCTATTGAAGATCAGACTGCGACAAAGGCAGCGGAAAGAATGAATCCGGAGGCGTCGTCGGAGACGTCGTCGGAGGCCCGGGTCCGGCACAGCACACTAGAAATCCCGAAGAGCATCACTAAGCTCCCGCAGCCCAGCCAACCTACTCAAAAACAGAACTGAGACAACAACCACGAATCGGAGACATCGGTCGGCCTTCTCAGGTTGCATCTGAAAAAATAAGTTGAAGATGAAGCGACAGCACGCGTAAACGTCCAGACCACAATGTGTCGCAGGTCAAAGGACACGACTGCAACCATGCCAGCAACATGCTAGGACACCAACGTATTGCCCTCCTCGGTGTGCTTGATTCTGTTTCTCTCCTGCAGGCCAAGACTTCGCTTGTCCACCGTTCCACAAGTACTAAATACTAAATCCAGAGACCAGCTTTGGCGCAAGGCACACACACAGAGTGCCACATGTACGCACACCTAAACACCTACGCAGCTGCACGCCATGTCCTTCCGCGACGTGTGCCACAGCTGCGTCGTGGCGCGCCTCACCTAGCAACGCTCAATTCGCACTCCAAACAACAATGTCAACTAAATTTCCGCCGGCCTGCTGCTGTTCCTGGGCGTCAGCGCCGCGCTTGTTGACACAGCTTTCAAGCCATCATTGACAAACATGGTCAATTCCTCAACTCCGCCAAGCAAGTTCACAGCATTGTGCACGGCTCGGCTCAGGTACGCCAAGAACTCCTTGTGCTCCTAAAACGCGACGACAAAGAACATATGCCACTCCAGCCATGGTCTCCGCAACAGATTTGAGAGAAACACCTTGCTGTGGCACGATGTGCGGCGCCGAGCCTGAACCATGGGCACGCAAACCACCAAATCGGGCAGACTTGACGCGCATAAAAGCTTCACTCGACAAGCACCGAAGACTCTTCAACGGACAAGCTACAACACCAAAAAGCTCACAGTAGAGCAGGACAGTACTTCCAAACGATCTATCAGTGCACGAAACACTGCTCAGCTAGAGCCAAGTAGCACAACTCCAGCAAACAGTTATTCTACCCATCCACATGCTACAGTTTCGCATCACGGTCGCTCAAAAAGTAGCATTCGAGAATCGTCCTCGTCATAATTATTGAAGCTGAAGTCAAGACATTTCCTACCCAAACCAATCTCACCTGCATGCACAAACACATCGACCTACGCTCGCCACAATACATGTGCATGTCAGTACTGAACTGTTCTCGAACATGCTTGGGGCACTACTGGCAGAGCGCCAAACCATTCCTTCGAGAGTAGTGGTAGATCATGATCAGTGACTAGAAACGCCGCAGCGCATCAAAAACAACAGTTGGACATAACTGGAAAGCAATGGGTGGCAGACTGGAAGAGACATCTGCTTCGCCTCGCCACTCATATGGTGCGTCATCAGCGAAGAACACCAAGACGAACTACCGCACCTCTCTCCGATCGTTCGCTGGCGAGACCTTGCACGAGCGACAGCTCACGAATTTGTCCAGGACTCAGCACAGTTTTCTGCCTTGGACGTGCGAGTCGGCTGCTGCACCTGAACTCCATGTGCGGCAGACAAAGGAAAGAAGACCCGCCAAAACAAGCATTGCACACTACTTCTGTAAGAAGATCACACGGAGCGGAATAACACTTCATGACTCAAGCTTATAAACCCCACTTTCCAAGAAAACGCACAGAGACTGAGCGTCCAGCTTTATGCCGACTGCTTTTGACAACTCGGCCGTCCTACCACAATAATCACAACACATTCTCACTTGGGCTGCGGTCTCCAAGAGTCAGACTCGCATGCGTGGGCCCTCGGCAGTATCTTGTCGCAGGAAACTGCCTCGCCAACCTGCACACAGTCAACTTCAGCCGCACACTTGCACTTGCTGCATCCACGAAAGGCCAAGCACAACGTGGCCTCGACGGACGGGGTCGAGGCGGCAACCTGCGCACGGAATATGAATCACCCTTACAGCAGACTGCAAGAACGAGTAACATGGCCTTGATGAGTTCCTGCGCACCTGGCTCACCACTTGAAGTCCAACTCATCACAACATGATTTAAGCAAATTGTATATGCGTGCAACGAGATCGACTGAACTATAACCAAGCCTCGGTATGACGCTTCTGACGCTTCTTCGACGCTGTCGCTGCCGCAGCTGGTGCTGCTGCGGCTGTTCCTGCTGGACTTGCCCTGTGCGACAAGCCGATGTCTGTCTGTACACAGGCACGTCCGCTACCATCAAGCTCACACCCGTCCTCGACTTTCATTTCGGCCACGTAGAGATGCAGCCCCTTGAGCGCAGCGATCTGCTGCTCCACAGTCAGCTTGCTGAAGGATCGCATGATCTTGAACGCGATCTCAGCGCCACACTCTTCAAGACATGAAATCGTTCGTCAGAAATGTTCAAGTATATACTGATGATACACAGACTACACAGATGCGCATACAGGGCGGACCTGCTTTGAAGTATCCCCATGCAGCAGGATGTTGAGCTCACTGTGCGTCAGAGCTTGAAGCTTGGCCGTCATGCTTTTCCACACTGGCCGCAGCGAAAACACGTCGACAAGCCGCTCCAGAAAGCCAGAAGTCAATGCGATTATTCTCTTTGGAACCGATGGTCTCTCGTCCCATGCATCAGGGTCCCTGCAATCATGGTCGGACAGCACGAGAATGAGCGAAAAGACAGGCCTTTGTGTAACGACATTTAAGCCCGCAGCCGGAGGAGATGGACCACTACTGGTAACCTGCTCCGGTACCGGGCCGAGCGTGGATGCTACAGTCCCTGGAGAGGCGGGCAGGCGTGTTGGGTCGCCATCGAGGTGGAGGTGCTTAAGCGCCGCCCGCCCACCTTGAGTTTTAGGGTTTAGGGATTAGGGTTTTACGGTTTAGGGCTTTAGGTTTTAGGGTGTAGAGTGTAGGGTTTAGGGTTCTTGGGATTCGAGTTTTCGGGTTTAGGGCTTTAGGGTTCAGGGTTTTAGGGTTTAGGGTGTTCCGGTTTAGGGGTTTGGGGTTTAGACTCTCACACCCCCCTAAACACTAATAGCTTAAAAGCAATGACAAAAACCGCATCTAAGCCATAATAGAAATGCTTCGGACATCGGTAATTGAAGCGATTCAGGATTGGCGTTCGAGGGCTCAGCTACTAGGCTTTGAAAGCTTGGGCTTAAGACCTAGGCTTCAGATGGCCCTTTGGGGTTCGGCCTTCAGAGTTTTTTTTTGATCAATGAATGATAGCGGACCTTTTTCCACAGCCTGCTAACCCTGACGGGCCCATTGAGTGAAACAAGTCTGAGACAGTGCTTACAGCATATCTCAAACCAAAAGACTTCGTCACTTCACGTGCTGCTTGTAGTCTTCACGGTCATGCTTCACTTCTGAGCATCATTCCCTGTAGACCCTTCTTTCACCTCATCCATCCTCTTAGCCAAGTTTATTTACATACCCAGTCCGTTGATTTGGTAGCCAGCCAATTCGCAGGATACTTTTCGGCTGCCAGCACCGTTCGTACCGGAAAACTATTAACGTCGGTCGCACGAAAGATACTTTGATGACACACCGCTGGGTGAGACCCTATGGGCCTCGGTGGCACGAATCATACCCCGTAGCCTTTCCAGGGCGCATGCACCACCACACAGTCGCACAACTGTATGGGATGCCACATGTTCATTCATGTTCACCCGAGGGCAAGTCAGACTTGTTGTTGGTCGTGGCACAGCCCGTGACCGCAAGCCTTATAGGATAAAAGCCCTACGCCCCGCCCAGTAGCTTCCCTCGCTAGAAGGCGTCACCCTCGCCACTACTGGGGTCTTTCGTCCGTGCTGCTGCCCTAGCAAACCGGACTCATCAGAAGCGATTGGTGCACACTCTGGTCAGTGTATGTACTTCGGGCAAGTCTTTTTACACCACATCTTTCACCAGGTGAAGGACGCTTGGCAGACGTCCTGGCGGCGCTTCCCATGTGCGTGGGTTTCTCCGAGCTTGAGCAGTTTAACGACTTACTCAGGTCGCGCCATTCTCGCTCATGCTCTGAGCGCCCTGAGACACGCGGTCACTGTTTCGACATTGCCGGTGCCCAGTCCCATAATTTAATGGCCATTTCCTGATCTGCCACTGCTATTCCCGTTTCCCGCTCAAGTGACTTCATCATCATGAGCGGTGCTTTTCCCTCTGCCAAGAAGCACTGACGCTCACGCTCCAAGCTCTCGACGAAGCTGTCATTTGCCTCATCAGCATCAGGCCCCAGCAGCATCCTGAGGTGCTTCGCGTCAAGGGTCCCACCACACTCACCGTGATATAACGCATCATGGCATGGCACAATGCGAAAAGCAACGGCTGATGAACACAGTTGCTCATCATTGCAACACTCTTGGTGTACCCTGCTCGGTTGCGTGGGTTCCCCATGTCGAACGAAATGGTCAACGAGTTACTGAGCTTTCCAGGTTTCGGGTAGAAGTACGTCTCTTTTCCGCATGACACGACAAGTTTGCTGCAACACTCAGCACGCTCATAAGAGCTTGTGACGCAGTCTCCATACTCAAGGTCTCCCTCGGGACCCTGAGGTTCGATTTTAAATCCGAATTCGGAGACCCCTTGCACCAGGCTTCTCCAAACTCGAACTTCGTGCCGATCATGCGGATCAGGGCCTCGGCGAATGCCTGCAGCCCATCGTCCCCCTCACCCATGAGGTTTGCGAGCTTTCCACCACGAATACTATCCATGACGATCTTGCGAATTGCGCTCTCCCTGATACCCTTGCGCTCCAAAACAAGTGAAAGGTTCGCGAAGAAAATGCACAAATTCGTCAAGAAGTTGAGGATACTAGTCCCCCGATCGCCACTTTCACGAATCATGTCGAAAATCACAGCCTTGACGACGTTCTTGACCAAAATGGAGCACTTATTCTTTATTCGGTCACGCACTGCCGCCGCCAGCAGACTCTCAGGTCCCTCCAGGCTCATGATCTTCATGAACATGGAAACAATGATATCGTTCTCAATGAGGTCGCGACACTCTTTTGTGCAACTCCCATCGAACGCACCAAAGTCCATAGAACTGACATAATCGTAGTTGCGTAATATCTCTCCCATGCGTCGGCCAAACTCACGCCTACTAGCATGCTTAAGAGACCGCTGCTCGAATATAGCGGGTTGTGGAACAAAGCGTGTTCCAACAGCCCCGCATCGAGAATGTGGCGAGCGACCCCTTCGTCACCAGAAGTGATGATCATCCGGGGTTTTTCTTTGGATAGCGCCTCGTTAGGCTTAACATGGGCCTTCCGAGGCAATTCGCGGGGTGCGTCAACACCAGCTGTACGCATCGCCGTAAGGAATCGCTCCTCTGTCCATTTGCCGGATTTGAATTCGGTCGGCATGGTCTCCAAGATGTCGTAGGCCAACGCAAGCGCTCCGCTGTCTACGCAGCTCTCCATCAGGACCTGCTTCAACATGGAGCATGCACGCTGGACATGCTTCTTGCCAACCTTTGTCATCTCACCGACCCCGGAAGCAACCTTGAAGTGCCTGTCTTTCATAGCCTTTAAGGCGTTGCCTATCGTAGGCTTGGCGACATAGACACCCGGAATGTTCCCGGACTCCGGCACGCTCTCCCATGATGAACAGTGGGCGCGAGCCTCCTTCGGGGCGCAACCGCTGAATTCGCTCTGCTCGAGGTTCTGCTTCGCCTCTTCCTCCAATGCACTCCTCATCTCCTTGTGCCCGCTCTCGTTAACACTATCCCGGTAGTCCAACCAGGCCTCACCTCCTCGCAAGTCCACTTTGTGGGCCTCGCTCAGGTATGACGTGTCGCCCACCACATGTGGCTGGCCCGTCACCTGCGTAGGATGCACGCTGAATCCTGTGATTGGATTCTCAGGGCTGCTCCGATGATCGCCTCGATCAATCTCTGCAGGCTCCTCGATCCTCACCTAACGCTTGCGCTGTTCCTCACAGGTCGTGTTCATATCACATGACGCGACCCTTCCTGCATCAATATCCTGCTCAGTGACACGTGCCTCCGAGCAATCCATGTTGCTGCACTCTGTCCGCGCCACTTTTCCCCAACCTGACTCGTCAGTCGAGGCCCAAGTGGGCGGTGTGTCCAGGATCTTGTGCACAGCCCCTAAGTCCATCAGTGAGTAAAGGATCCTGTTCACAGCCTTCTTCTCCGCACCCATGCGGTTTGCCACTTGCTTCGTAGTGACAACCAATTTCTCCCTGACAAAGCACAGGATGGCAGTCTCGTTTAACGCATGTTGTGTCGCAGTGTTCCGCCTCGACATCCTACCCCTTGCGGTTCCTCCATGTGGCTGCTCAGGCTCCAAAAACCTGCACTCATGGTTCTCAGGTCCGAAAGTCTGACCCTCTCCAAGCCACGGGTATGAGCCGTCATGGTTGTATGTGTAGAAGTCCGCAGGCGGACCGCAGTCCGCGACGATGTCGTAATTCAAGATCTGACACATCCTGCTCTTGTGCTCCAGGAATTTGCCCAGTCTGTAAATTCCGTCTGGACTAAGTGGCATGATAGGTACCCAGTCGTACACGCGGCTGATTGAGTTCGGCATCCACAGGATTCGTGCAGCAAGAATGACATGCAACCTGAGGGTCATGACCCTATGGTGGCTGTCCCTCAACCCATCCAGGGAGCGCACCCCAAAAGCGTAGCAATCCCCGAGGGCGCCACGATCTGGCTTAGTGCACTGCCTGATGAGTTGTTGTTGCAATGCCGCCAGCAGGTTGTTGTAAACGCTGACGAAGGCAAATGGTAGCCGCTCACGCCTTATCGCGTGCTGTGATGCACCAACGCAGCATCTCACGACATTCGACTTACAATTCCGGGCCCAACGCTCGATAGCACAATCACCATTGAATTTGTGCACCTCGCAGTTGTCGGTAGATACCACATACATACAGCGGTCGCCGGCAGGTTCGAACAGCCCAATACCAGCGTCTTGAATGCAGTGGAGGCAATTGCCCGTGCATGTAGCCAAAGCCGTAAGGGCTGGGCAGCTGTTGACCGTCTGTTCATCAAATGAGGACAGAGGTGACAGCTCTTCCAGCATGCTTTGCTTGCGCAGGTGGCCCTTAAGACCCTTCCTGGCAGCCAGTTGGTGTTTCACTATGTCAATCCCAACTTCGGACACGTGGCCGCGGAGATGGGGAAGCACCTGTTGCTCGATCCAGGTGGTAGCCATTGTTGGGAACTGGGATTTTCACAGTGACCAGTGGGCGTTTGATCTCAAGGCTAGCGCGTCCGTAGCCATTTTGAGTTTAGGGTTTAGGGTTTAGAGTTTAGGGTTTTTTTTAAGATGCAGAGTTTAGGGTTTTAGGGTTTAGGGTTTAGAGTTTAGGGTTTTAGGGTTTAGGGTTTAGAGTTTAGAGTTTAGAGTTTAGGGTTTTAGGGTTTAGGGTTTAGGGTTTCGGGTTTTAGTGCTCAGGGGGAGTAAGGTGAGAAGTAGTTGAACCCGGCCCGTCCCGATAGGATTGTGGGTGTTTCATGGCGAATGGGTCATTTGGAGGATCAGGCGACTTAGTAAGTAAGGTTACAAGTGCCCTAGTTAGGGTTATAAGTAATTGTAAGTATAGTTGCCTTATGTTTACCTTAGCTACTAAGTCCCATGATCCTTTAAGTAGACTAGACTTCAGGTCTTCGACTCAGGGTTGCGGCCTACGGTGGCTGGGCGGGAAAATACGAGCGACCCAGGACGATCATACAAACCGTATGTAATTATAGGATCCACGAGCCCGACGTGGCACGAGCTACCGTTTTCACAGGGTTTCACTGCTTAAATCTTATCTCGGTTGGGTGGCTTGGCCGGCGTATCGGCTTACACAGCCCTGAATCCCAAGTACCAAGCCCCTAATGCCCTGAGACCCGACGATCCTAAACCCCAAACCCTCCACCGTAAAACCCTACACTTCACTTTCACTACATGCACCCTGGGCCTTCGACAAAACAATGCTGCCACGACTCAACAGGTCATTCTACCCTCTCCGGAGGGTTTTTAGCTGGGTTTATGGTTTGTATACTGAACTTAGAACCCTAGCAAAAATTATAGCTGTTTCTTAGGCAGTATAATAACCAAAAATTAAATACTATTTCCAACTATTTGCTTAAGAACCCCCAAAAAATAAAAAATATATTCCTTATGGGGGTAATATAGGGATTATTATTTTTATTTTTTGGGGGGTTCTTAAGCAAATAGTAGTTTCTAAGTACCCCTAAGGTTTGGGGTAATGAGGATCCTGGGCCTTGGGCTTGAGGGTAATGGGCATCGCAGCGAAGGCTACATACTTGGAGGATCAGGGGACTTAGTAAGTAAGGTTATAAGTACCCTAATTGGGGTTATAAGCAATTATATGTATAGTTACCTTATTTGTACTATAGTTACTAAGTCCCATGATCTTTTAAGTCGTATCCGAGGCAGAGGTACGCATTACAACACGCAGTTGATCATGCTTGGAAGGCTGGCTGCCTCCAGTCTGTGATATCGCATCTTTAGCTCCAGGGGTCCTTGACGTGAAAACCAGGGGCCCTTAAGACATACACTTCCTGCGTTATGGCGATGTAGGGGACGGATGTGTCGACGTGGAGCCGTACATACACTCCAAAACCCTAAACCCTAAAACCCAAAGCCCTAAAACCCAAAACCCAAAGGCTCGGATGTCGAGGCTCTAATTTCTCAGTCGCCGCGAGAAACACTCATATGGCATAAACCCTGAACCCCTAAACCCTCAAGCCTGAAATCCCAAACCTTCAAATCCCTGCCCCAAAATCCTCAACCCCCCCCCACCCCCCAAAGCCCGAAATCCTCAGCCCAAAAACCGAATCGCCCTAATTCCTAAACCCCAAACCCACCTCATGGGTTGTCTTGAACCGAGATTCTGAAGAGGCGAAGTACATGGAAGCAGAGAGGTAGCCTTGCAATCAGGCTACCGGGCTCTTGTTAGGGAAGTTCCGCTAAGGGATCCTAGGGGTTCCTTCAGGGATCCTTAAAGGGTTCGCTTAAGGGCTCCTTTCAGGGATCCAGTCTTTCAGGGGCCCTCAAGATATGCTTACGTTGCTACCTCAAGTCTCCATTGTAGTCCGTTTGTGGGTTACCTGATGAGATCCACACTATAAGAATGTTTAAACCAAAAGAAGAACTGCAAACTGAGTACCCTTAGCAAGAACCCAGGCTTTGGGAAGGGTTCCTCTACATATGGCTCCTGGCTTGGGGCAGCTTAATGGTTTAAAGGACCCACAGGGTTCTGTACAAAGGGCTTCGGATCTAGGCCCCTAAACCCTAAACCCTGGCTTGGGCTTCAGGGCAGTTTCGGAGTTTGGATGGTTTAGGGTCGAGGCTGGAGACTGGAGACTGAGGGGCTAGAGAGCTTAACGCTTACGGACTTAGGGATGTGTTTGCTGGGACTGGTGATTGCTTGGATCTCCGGGGTAGGGGCTGGCAATGAGTGTGGCAGCAATCTTAAGACCCTGTGCTGAGCAAGGGCTCGACCCCTCTCCAGTGCAGCTGGAAACGAACAGCAAAGATTTCCTACACTCAGAATCGCCAAGAAACCCGAAACCCTCAACACAGCCGTAGCCCTAGTTTCCAACCCTGGGACCAGGACGGAATGACTAGTAACATGGTTCCTGCATACAACCTATGTAGCTCTAGAATTCTTGCTGCACAGTCATACTCCTCACCCGGTGGCAAATATCATCAACCATTCTTATCGTTGGGATCCCAAAAGGTAAACCAACAAAGGAACTACCATAGAGACTTTAGTGCACCCTTGAAGCGCATTCCTGAGGAGGGGTGGGCTAATGGCTAATGCAACGCAGGACTAGAGTTTCAGCTGAAGCTCCTGTCGTTTATGCTTCTGGGGCAAAAAAGCTGGTTTCATAATTACACATGCACATATGTAAAGATCTGAGACGAAATTCAGAATTGCTGGCGAGAGGCCATTGTGATCTTGGAAAATCTGCTTTGACCTCACAATGCTTTGCCAGTACCTGCGCGGGGCTGCGCCTTTGCGCAAAATTCCAGGGACTCTGCATTGTGCCAGTACAATGAGAACCCTACACTTTGCTACTCCCTCTGAACCCGCAAAGCTCGAAAACTACGGCTCCTGCTATCTCATGCTGCTACTCCTCCGCTAGTCCTACTGCTCCTACTTCGACAGCTACTCCTTCTCCTGCAGTTCCTTCTACTCGTGCTGCAACAACGTCATCGACATCATCATGATCACCTTCTGCTTCTTCTTCATCCATCACCATCACCATGACCATCACCACATCATGATCGTCGCCGCGACCATCGTGAGCATAATATCATCTACTATACTCTACTATACTACATGATAACGTCAGCGTCGTCGTCGGAGCACGTGAGCGTGAGCCCGTGGATCGGGTTCATCGCAAGCGCCCAAGCCTCAGATATAGGAGAGACAGGTCGGTCAGTCTGCTAGCCCTTTGACCCTCAGGGTTTAGGGTTTTGGGTTTAGGGTTTTGGGTTTTGGATTTTGGGTTTAGGGTTTTGGGTTTAAGGTTTTGGGTTTAGGGTTTAGGGTAAACCGCAGCCGAACCCTGGGAAGTGCAAGGATTAGTGTAGGACGGCTTGGAGTCGCAGTCGAAGCTGTCTGTGCAAGAACCCAAACCAAGACTACGCATTACATGATTGCGACGTGCAGATGCTGTACATCAGTAGTTTCAGAACCCCACTAAGCTAGGATTGAATCCTAGCCCAAGCGCAAAGCAAAGAGGCCCTAAACCCGACAACCTAAGCCCTGAAGAGTATAGATTAGAAGCTGCCCCCACCCTGTAATAGTGACTATAAGGATTATATTAGGGCCCTATTATATTCCTATTATATTCCTATTATACCACTATTACAGGGTGGGGGCAGCTTCTAAAGTATAGACCCTAAACCACAAGCGTCCGGTCACGAGTCAGACGAGGCAGGTGCAGTCCACCACATCACCCGGGGCAGCCATAACGACAGCCAAAGGTCCTGCGGTTGATGATATAAAACCTGCATTATAGAAATCCTAGGGTTCCTTTAAAGGGATTTATAAGGGGTACCTTTAAGGGGCTCCTGTAAGGGCTCTGTAGGGTTTAGGGTTTAGAGTTGATGATATAAATCTTGCATGACCTTAAGGACCCTAAACTATGGGAATTATGGTATATTCCTTGTTATGGGTAACAAAGGTCCTGCAGCTGTTTGTCCTTTTTCTCGTGGCTCTTCGGTTGATGATATAAATACTGCATTACCCATAATAAGGAATATGCCATAATTCCCATAGTTAGTTTAGGGTCCTTAAGGCAATGCAGGATTTGTATCATCAACCGTTTCCTGCAATCCGAAAACCCTGAATCTAGAGAAGGCTACATGGGTAATTGTCAAAATTAGCGCCCCTTTTTGGGTGCCCTTTCTATTAGGTGCCGTATTATGTCTTGACTCTAGCGGAGAAGCTATCTGGAACAATTAGAACAGGGTTTGAGTGTAAAATACAGTTCGTCTACAAACAGGAACCGTAACAGATATTGGTAAACTGTTCCGACCCCTACCTTTGTGCCAGAGCTTTCTTCTGCACCCGAAACCCTTTACCACCCTCCACGACATGACCTTTGAAGCATATGCAGACACACAGTCTCCACGTGCATACGTAGGTTCGACTTTGGCTGCAGGATGCTTCAGGGAAGCTGCAGTAGTGATGTAATCGTACCCTATGCCTCCAGGGACCTTATTATGGGGTCCTTAAGGGGTCTAGGGCTTTAACTATGAGGTCCTTGGAGGGATTGGGTTACCCCGTCTTGAGCCTGACACCCTCATCTCAACCAGTGCCCGAAACCTTCCGTCACCTTCCCATGCGGTCACACTTGCAGAATTCAATACTATTGCGGAAGTGTGTGTCTACTCAGTGCACAGGCGACGCTACCAGCACAGTCTAGGCAAACCTCCCGAAACTGCGCTGCGCTGCCTTCAAAGCCCGGACCAATTCGGACGAGCGCCCCTGCACTCAGAGGAATACTCATGCGTCCTACGTGCTCTCCGAATGGAGCCTATCTAGAGTCTCCATT